CATACACACATGTGGTGTTGCTGTGATTGTCAGGAGCAGGAGAAATTATTTTGGGTTGTTCTTTGGTGGTAGATTATGGTAGTAGCAAGAAATATACAGCTATATTTAAAAAGAAAGGTTTTTTTTTTTACTAATTTGGAACATTTTTCCTTTGATAATAAATAAAAATCAGGACATATCCATTTGCCATTTCCTACCAAATGAAAGCCCAATTTGTCCTGAAAAAAAGGTATATTACAGGTGAATTACATGTAATCCAGGTGAATTCACCTGGATTACATGTAATTCACCTGTAATATACCTTTTTTTTATTACATGTAATTCACCTGGATGCACAAAGTAGTTGTGATGATATGTACTGTTGTGCTAACATGTCAAAGTTCCAAAATTGTGCTTAGGCATTAAGATTTGTTTTTACTTTAGACACAAAAGGGTTAAAATAGCCTCCAAGAAAAGGAATTATGCATTTTAATATTTTACTTTAAGCCTTATTAAAAGTGCTGCTCTTTTCCGACAAATATTTCTATTTTTTTGGTTTTTTTTTTGCATTGGTACATTTCCCCCTGACAACACCCAGCTTTCCATTGCCTTTGTTTGACCATCACTTCTCTATTAGCCTTGAAAATGAAGAGAAATGATTTTCAACATTTTCTCCTTATTGAAGTTCCCTCAAATCAAGCCCAGGCAGATTTGTCACTACTGACCACCAATTTAATTTTTTAATCTTTGTTGTTCAGTCTCTACTGATCACCAATGTAATATTAGTAATTGATCACTAGCAAACAAAATAATGAACTGCACTGACTGTTGACTCACTGTATAATTATTTATAGCCACTAGCCACCATAGCAGTTAATAAATGTCACTTACCACTGGTCACAAATGAGATCATTAATGTGCACTCTGTTGATCAGCAGTGTAATATGTATGCCTGCTGACCACCAATACAAATACTAAATGTCACTGGCCATTGATTACCAATTTCATTAACTACATTGACAGTTGACTATCAGTAAATGTATTCATTTATTTATTATCATTTTTCACTGGCCACCAATGTAATTATTAAATTCTACTGACTAATGATCACTATTGTAATTGATTACCTGTACTGATTTATTGTCACAAGTATCATTATTTGTCTTTTGACTGACTATGCAGTTATTAAATGTCTTGTACCACTTATAACAAGCCTAATAAATTTGCCACCAGTATCATTATCAAATTTAGGCAATATGTTATAGAATGGCTCATTTTACAAGATACCCCCTAATATATTAAACTCTTCCCGCACACAGCACAGATTCTTCTCTATCATATATCACCTAAAAAATAAAATAATTACTGCTTCAGCTGTGATATATTTGTATGTCAGAATAACAAGTGAAAAATGGGAGGTTTTCCTTTGTGAATGAACCTTCCCAGCTAAAATGAGAAACAAATCTTTAAAATAAAAATTGATTTAATGCATGCATTATGTTACAATTTTTTACATTTGTGAATTAAAGCATTATTTATTTCTCCATACTGAAAATAATGATTGTCTTGAAAAGCAACCAATTGAGCCCTAGAATATTTTTTCTTTTACATAAACTCAGTGATGGCTGGTGAAATGACTGTTTTTGGAAGTGCTGAACATAGGGCTTTTATTCCAGCAGTAGAGGGGGTAAAGTATAGTACTCTATTTAATAATTCACAGCATGCCACCTAATGTTGAACCAACCAAAATATTTTTCTAGATTTTTTCTTTGAGTTGTCCTTATAGTTACGTTTGTTACAAAATGAAAATATAAAAAGGAATTAGAGAATTCTCACTTTCAAATTAAATTTACACTATGCAAAGAGACTTTTCACTTTGCTTCGCCTGATTCATTATGATACGTGAAAATTCACTTTGAAAGTGAAAATGCTTTTCTTCCTTAGAAAATCAGGGTCAATATGTCAATGTATTACACATATATTTATTTTAACTAGTGAAGATGTAGCCACGTCAAATATTTTGGCTATGGGTATGTAAGCAAATGCATATTTGCCTTGAAGCTTAACTCCAGGCAATCAGCAAAATAACAAGATGAAACACCTAGCTGTTTACATACCACATAATTTTTATTTCTGTTTATTCATTGCTGAGATCCACAAGCCACACCAGATAGCACAGCAGGCCTTGAGTCTTGAAATTTAAAGTGGAACTTAAAGTGTTCTAAAGTGAATCCTCAGCATATTGTTTATTTTACTTAATCATATTGGGCAGGTGGTTGAAAAAGGGTCCCCCTTCAGTCATGAATGTGCAGAAGCATTTGTCCTATCATAATATGTTGGAGCTTTATGATTATATGCTTCAGTTGAGTAATAGAAATTAATTTAGCATTGGTATAAATTCCTGCAGAAATACCCACTGCAACAAATTATAGACTTTCAAAAGGGTTCTAGGAAGTATTTGATGTTTTTCTGGGAGGAGTATAGTTTCTTGTATCATGAATGTTTTTTCCTTTGCACTGTTTCTTTTTCTACCTTTTCAAATAAAACATTTAAAAATGTTAAAAAGTATTGAGAATGAAAATAAGAAAAGGGAAAATTAACTCATGCACAGTGGCAACAGCTAAAGAGATCAGTGGGATTGCTTTAAACTAATTTCATGCTTATTTAAAATATAGAAGTAATTTACTATTTATAGCCTGCCACAGATTGAATAAGGTAATAAACAGTTTGGTGCAGAACAACTTTAAATGAGGAAGAAATTTCTGTTTCTTACAATGATTGAGATTTTAGCCTATCTGGAAATAACTAGATTCCCATATACCTGCCCCTTCTAAAATATGCTTAATGTAATATGCTAAACTGTAATGAATGTTTTTATACGTATTATGTTCTAATATACTGTGTGTACATTCATTTTAAAATATCTCTGTACTTAGAAACATCTGCATTGAGAGTCAGGCCGACACTTTATTTTAAGACTGCTTTATTGCATTCATCTATTCTACAGGCATTCACCTATTTCTTCAGACATTATTCATCTTTTCAAGCAAAGCCTACTTCCCTACCCTAAACTTTAAAGTGCACAGACTAAGGACATTAAAGTTTACATCTTCCTGAAAGTTTTTTTTTTAAAAAGCAAGCACTGACCTCTCTATCTTCAGGTACTGAGAAAAAATTCATTCTCAAACAGCCATAAAATTCATAGCAAAGACTGGAGTTGGGTTTTAGTGTGCTCCTAACAGCTTAAAGACACCTGAAGTGTTTTTTATATTAGAAGGTTGTAAGACTGCCAAGATTCTGGTGCAATAGAAATTGAAACACATAAGCGAGATTTTATTGCCTCTGTTGTGAACTTGAAGATACATTTCTTTACAATGCATGTAGCTACAGAAGTGAATATGATCTTTTTTTAAAGCTGCTTTTGCTTGTTGCTCTAAATATTTGAATATTTTTATATAAAATCAGATTTTATATAAAAGTCTGGACGCAAGTTCACTTTAAGCTAGAAGAGCCTTAGGCATGTAAACCAAAACTTAGATCTTCTGAGAGGTATTTTAGAAATTAACAATTTTAGATTATATACAAATAAAGATTTGATTCAAACTTGTTTAAACTAATTGACAAACAAGATATCTCAACAGGAAGCTGTTGTATTTCATGTTTTATCTAATACTCAGCTTGTTCAATTAAGCTTTGGCAATAAAACCTGGAAGCTGATTGGTTTCTATGCAGAAGTGAGCCTGATTTTGCACTCTCCAGCTTTAGTAAATAAACCCCACTGTGTGCTAACATGTTCTTTAGCAAAGTCCTGGAGCTGAGCACCACATGTAAAGGTAAAAACAACATGAAGAAACACAAGCACTCAACCCAGGATCCCCTGTCTAACATGTTTTCATGGCTAAACAGGAGAAGAGGCAAAAACCCATCCTCATATAAAATAGTCCCAAATGTGACATTCATAATTTAATCATTGTGGTATCTTAGTTTCCAAAATAAGGTGTCCGTTTATGACACAGAGAATAGCTGCGATTCAACAGATCTCAGCTATTCTCTGGTCATTCACAGTTTATGACACTCAGGAGATCATGTCAGCCCTTCTCTGGAGATCTGTGATCTCCCTCCAGATTCTCCAGCCCAGAGCTGGAGAATTGGAGGGACCGAAAACTAAGCAGAGATAATTTACCTCTGCTTAGTAAACTGATCTTTTACTGTAATCTCTCGAGATTATAGTAAAATGAGCCGTTTTCCAGAGTTTGTAGACCGTTTTCCAGCGTTTGGAGACCGTTCTCCCTTCGTTCGGAGAACTGCTTCATAAACTACATTCACAGGAGAACTGTGTTCTCCGAGAATGCCGGAGAACTGAGCAGAGATCTATTACCGCTGGTCCATAAACGGACACCTAAATGTCTAGTATTCTTCACTTCAATCCAAAGCCATCCTATCACCGCTCACGACTATGGAACTGAGTTGGGTGTTATATACTCAAATTTCATTCACCAGTTTAGACTCGTACCGGTAGCACAAGAAGTTTTCCCTCAACCTAATTTCCCTGCAGTGGTCACAAAAATATACTTGAAAAAATACAAGTGATGTGAATTAGCAAGACTGGAATTTAATTAAACAATACCAGATTTTAGTTCCTCTCCTAAAATAAGTTAATGTGCCTATTTTTCTTACTTCTACGGCATATTTTTTGAGATACCAAGTGTTTTATTAAAGTCTAGCTCAAACAGATGACAGTAAGTACTGAAACTGGTATGTTTTTGTTTCTATCAACAATTACTAATGAGTTGGTTGCACCACTGTACGCACCATTGTTTTAATCACAACAAGGTTCTAAGTAGGTTTACAGCTGTACATTTTATCTAATTGTTTAATATTTCTGTTAGAATATTTTTTATTTTAAAACATTAATATCCTGATGAACAACGCTCTTACCAATTGTTTAACCGCTTCCCCTCTGCCCTATAGCAGATATATGTGATAAAGATAAGTGATTTTGCATTTATGGGTAGGGGCTGCATTCACGGCTGTGGCTGTCAATCACCGGGTTCAGGCCGGTGATTACCTGCCCATGCCCGGTGATTACTGAGCATCTCCCACGGAAAGGAGGACTGCTTTGTTTACTAACAATCATCCTCCCTGTCGGCTCGGGCACACTGCTCTGGATGACTGTGCACAGCACAGCCATCCAGAGCAGTGTGCTTTTCAGTGAAGCACCAACACACCGCCCCCCAGTAAAACACTCCCAACACACAATTAACCCTTTGATCACTCCTCATGTTAACCCCTTCCTGCTCAGTGCCATTAGTACAGTGTCAGTGCTTTTTTAGCAATGATCACTGTATTGGTGTCACTGGGGATGTCAGGGACACCAAGTCATTCCCCCCAGTGTCAGAATACCCAATGCAGTCCCGCTATAAGTCGCTGATTGCCAACATTATTAGTAAAAAAAAAAATTCCAGTATATATACCGCCATTTGTAAACGCTATAACTTTCACGTAAACCAATTAATTTACACGTATTGGGATTTTTTTTTTAGCAAAGACATGGAGCAGAATACATTTTGGCCTAAATTTAGGACGAAATTTTAACATTTTTTACTGGACATGTTTATTAGCAAAAAGTAAAAAATATTGTTTTTTTTCTCAAAATTGTCGGTCTTTTTTTTTATAGTACAAAAAAAATAAAAAACACACAGGTGATCAAATACCACCAAAGGAAATCAGAATTTGTGGGAAAAAAAGGACGTAATTTTCATTTGGGTGCAGCATTGCATGACTGTGCAATTGTCAGTTAATGTAACGCAGCACTGTAACACAAAAAATGGCCTGGTCAGGAAGGGGGGTAAACCCTTAGGAGGGCAAGTGGTTAAATTAAAATACTTCTCTAAAGGGTTTTTTTTCTCCATTGCATTACAATAGGAAACTAAAGGTAACATTATGTAGCACAATTCATTGTGCTAGAAAACTGTCAGTACTGTATAGTGTAGAAACCCACATATCCACTTGAATGATTTAGACTACATACTACATTTAGACCATTCATTTTCTTCATATCTCTGGAAGCTTTCAGTAATCTGATGTCAATTGTCATCATTTCTTTCTCTGTCTGATAAGCTGCATGTTGGTGGCCTAGATTGCTTTAAGATTCCTAAATATTTGTACACTAAAGTGTGACAGCTTTTGAGAATAATATGTTGATCCTACTATTGTTACCATTATTTCTAAAGTTAGTTTTCCCATGGAACTTAACCTCACTGTCATAAAAATGATGTACTAGACATAATAACGACTGATTGTATTTGCAGTTAATCCAACATGAACGTTTGCTGTTTAATGTACTTGCTACTTTGTTCATAGGTGGCCACTTATACTTTGTGACCTAAAATGTATATTGATGATCACATTTATCTCTATAGCTGCTGAATGATAGTATTCAAATTATGAAATACACTACCTGTGAGACAATAAGAGATTCAACATATGTAGCAAAAAAGTGATGTAGACCTATTACATACAGGCAGATAAAGAACAGAAAGCATGCAAAATATAAGGTATATAAGTCTAAGTCTAATGTCGAAAGTCTTTGTCTTACAACATATGTCTTTAACATAAAAATAATTACAGTAATAATATTGGAGAACATTTTCAACCAAATGGCCACCAAATTCTAGGTCTGAAAGTTTCATGCTGTGAGTCGAAATGCAGCTTTGCCCATAGCATCTGTACTGCACTTTAAAGTGTGAAATGGGTATTAAGTGCAGTGATAAACATATGGCAGCTGCTATTGCTGTCCTGTTTTTAAAAATTACAGCTCAGTGGCTATCTTCCTGACATTCTGGTTACCTAAAGAGTTACTAAAGTAACACAAATATGCATGTGTGCATCTTGTCAGGTATATTTGTGAATACTAACTCTTAAAGCCAGATGAAGATTAAAGCCCCAAAGCTTACATTTTGTAAAGGAAAATGTAATTATTTGTTCACAATTAGATTATTTTATTCATTGTTCATTTTTTATAAATTTATATGACTTTATAACTATAACTATTTAATATAAAATGTTTGTGTTCTCTTTTTCAGCCAGAAGGTGGAGTTTTAAGAATTTGTTCAAATATGTACTACTTATCTATAACCTGTAAATCCTTTTGTTTACAGGCTCCAAAGCACAAGCTGTAATTTAACACATAAGTGGGTGAGTCATCAGCAGCAACTCATCCTTTATCTTACAATGGAACACAAAGTTTTAGTACGACAAACAGAGTCACAAAGCAGCAGCAGCCACTGCTAAGTTGTCTTTTTGGTTAAAACATATTGCTCCAGTGTTTAATGTATATTGATAAAAGAAGAAGATTGTATATATAGAGCATATATACTATAATATAGAAGAAGATTGTATATATAGAGCATATATACTATAATATAATACAGTATATAATATAATTTCCCTTTAAAAACAAGTAGCATATCCTCAAAGCTTCCAGTTATGTAGTGGGCACATATACCAGTAAATATTATCTGTGTTTAGAATTTTAAATGGACCTCAGAAGCTGCATGCTTTTAGGCAAATTCAGCAGTCATTGTAGACTGCAACCACTGTAGATGCTCACATGAGCAATAGATTGAAAATGCTTGGGAAAAAATGACCATATTTACCAAAGACAGTGTATATGTAATTTAACTTTTGCCAAATGTATGATAGAAATAGCTTTAATTTTAATGCACAATGCCAATCATTTTTTTTAAATTTAGGAATGGATGCAAATCTTGATTAAAACAGCAGATGCCAAATATTACCATCTGCTTTAGTTCACACAGTTATATTTTTTTGCATTAATAATATTTCAGTCATCGCCATGTCGCACAATTAACTATCACCTAGTGATTTACTTAATTATGGTTATTCTATGGTTACAATATTCTCAGTTTGAATACAAAGCAGCAGAAAAACTATTTTATTTTCACAGAAATGGATTAGTATTACCTGCTGTTTGTCAATTAACAAAAAGCATACAGTTCAAAGTCTTCTTTTTAGGAAAATTGGAAAGTATTAGTACTAATATTAATATTTTATTAATGTTAATATTTAAAATAAAAGAGGTTAATATTGTAGGTTATATGTTGTCTAATCAGTCTGTGTTTGAATCATAGTACTAATCAAATATATCAATAAAATACAAGCAAAGCTTTCATATACTTCATATTCACTCTTGTTATAAAATGTCCATGGGTCCTCCAGATTTTTCAATGATTCTATAACAGATGTTTTTGAATATTGGCAAATCAGTTCAAGTATTTTTTCCCCTTGTTTTTTGCCTGTTATTGAGTAAGTGCTTATTCAACTCCCTTGGACTTCTACACATTTTATCATTGGTCTACACAATACGTTTTGTTTTGCTGAAGTAGAACCATAGATATAAAGTTTTCTGAGTTATTTATAGATATACAGGTGCATCTCAATAAATTAGAATATCTTCAAAAAGTTAATTTATTTAAATAATTCAATTCAAAAAGTGAAGCTCATATATTATATAGATTCATTACACACAGAGTGAGATATTTCAAGCATTTCCTTCTTTTAATGTTGATAATTATGGCTTACAGCTAGGAAAAACCCAAAATTCAGTAACTCAGAAAATTAGAATATTACATAAGACCAATAAAAAGAGGATTTTTAATACAGAAATGTTGGCCTAGAAATGTTGGCCTGAAAAATTACGTCCATGTACAGTATATTAGGCAATCAATACTTGGTTGGGGCTCCTTTTGCATTAATTAATGCATCAAGGCGGCGTGGCATAAAGGCGATCAGCCTGTGGCACTGCTGAGGTGTTATGGAAGCCCAAGTTGCTTTGATAATGGCCTTCAGCTCATATGCATTTTTGGGTCTGGCGTCTCTCATCTTCCTCTTGTCAATACCATACAGATTCTCTGTGGGGTGTAGGTCAGGCGAGTTTGCTGGCCAATTAAGTACAGTAATACCATGATCATTAAATCAGGAATTGGTTCTTTTGGCAGTGTGGGCAGGTGTCAAGTCCTGCTTGAAAATGAAATCAGCATCTCCATAAAGTTGGTCAGCAGAGGGAAGTATGAAGTGCTCTTGAATTTCCTGGTAGACGGCTGCGCTGATTTGGATTTGATAAAACACAGTGGACCAAAACCATCAGATGACATGGCTCCCCAAATCATCACTGACTGTGGAAACTTCACACAGGACCTCATGCAACTTGGATTCTGTGCCTGTCCATACTTCCCCCAGACTCTGGGACCTTGATATCCAAATGAAATGCAAATTTTACTTTCATTCTAAAAGAGGACTTTGAACCAATGAGCAACAGTCCAGTCCTTTTTCTCCTTAGCCCAGGTAAGACGCTTCTGACATTGTCTCGGGTTCAGGAGTTGCTTGACATAAGGAATGCAGCAGTTGTAGCCCATGTCCTGGATATATCTGTGTGTGGGGACTCTTGAAGCACTGATACCAGCTGTAGTCCACTCCTTGTGAATCTCCCCCAAATTTTTGAATGGCCTTTGCTTCACAATCCTCTCAAGGCTGTGGTTATCCCTATTGCTTGTGCACCTTTTTCTACCACACTTTTTCCTTCCACTCAACTTTCCAGTAATATGATTGGATACAGCACTCTGTGAACAGCTAGCTTCTTTAGCAATGACCTTTTGTGACTTACCCTCCTTGTGGAGGATGCCAACAACTGTCTTCTGGACAACTCTCAAGTCAGCAGTCTTCCCCATGATTGCGTAAACTACTGAACCAGACTGGGAGGCCATTTAAAGGCTCAGGAAACCTTTACAGGTATTTTGAGTTAATTAGCTGATTAGAGTGTGACATCATGACTCCACAATATTAAATCTTTTCACAATATTCTAATTTTCTGAGATACTGAATTTGGGGTTCTTACTAGCTGTAAGCCATAATCATCAAAATTAAAAGAAAGAAATGCTTGAAATATATCACTCTGTGTGTAATGAATCTATATAATATATGAGCTTCACTTTTTGAATTGAATTACTGAAATAAATTAACTTTTTGATGATATTATAATTTATTGAGATGCACCTGTAAATGGAAAAGTTCTTTCTTCATGGTGAGCTTTTCTCAGCTTACTGAATTTTTATTTTCAGATGTTAAAGTCATCCATAGGCATCTGTGTGCAGTGGGCTGATGTCACCCACCAGATTTTCTGATTCAGTATTACCTAGGTGAATAATATTAGGAAGGAGGATCTGACATCTGTGGATAAAAGCAAATATCAATGACTTTGTAAGTCTGCATGAAATTTCTAAAAAAAAAAAATAGTCATAGTATAATGTCTGGAAAAAATAATTTTTCTTATGAAAATACAGCAGTAAAAACATAGCCTAGGCATCTGGGGGACTGTACAATCTGTTGCAGATTGGATCAAAGCTCAGGCA